GAATAACTTGAAGTTGCTGATCATTCATTTTTTTTCCTGTTATCTTGTGTGGAGCTAGAGTTTAGGCAGCATGCTATGCGTGGTGGGACATTAAAACAGCTAATTTCAAGAGGTGAGGACCATCTCCTAGAAAAAAAACAGGCTTTCTTTCTAAAAGGATTTTGAAGGAGGGGTGGTCAGTAGTTTGGTTTACGACCATACGGTCCATTTGGCTTTGGAGAAATCAAAAACTGTTTAGGAGAGAGGACCTGGATTGGGAGGCATTGTGGAACTAATCGAGCTTAGTATCATTTTATTGGTTGAAGGAGAAATGATGGCCCGACCTTAAAAAAGATACTTGATGGTCCTCATCCAAATTGGCTCTTCCTGTGGTAGCCTAACAAACAGGTGCATAAGTTTACTGTTCCAAAAGCATTTCAGTTAAATTTTAATGAAATTTTCATGATACTTTAGTTAATGATGGGATTAGTTACTGACTTGATGAGTGGAGAGGTGTGCTGCGCGACTTTTTTCCCTTTTTCCTGGCCTTCAAAGAAACAGGGCTGCGCGACTTGACTACAATGTTTTGTGGTGATTTTTCTGTTTTACTTGTTACCGTGAGCTTTAGAAGAAGGCAGAATTGTCAGGTTTATTTATGCGTCTACTGGACACTTTCTGTAATTTGCTTTCCTTTATTAGCCTTGGGACTTTGATTGTGCTGGGACATTATGCACTTGTCCAAAAACTACAAGTAGGTTTGCTGCATCACTCCAAAACAACAAGTGGATTATGTGTATCTTCTCCATTAAAAGACTAACAATGTTATAGTTATAATATCAAAAATAAATTGTTTCTTTTCTGCAAAAATGATATGTTTCAATTTATCTCAAAATTGCAAAATAAATTTCTCTTGAATGTTCACAAAGCTTTTGAAATATAAAAGGAATTTCACAATTGGATTTATCTATCTTCCATATTTGTCAAATGAGTCAAAAACTCAAACTGCCTATTCATTTGATCCCTTAATTTAGTTGGTAAATGATTTCCAAAAGAAAATTGATTTCTTTTTATACAACTCTTTCTTTTAACGGTAACAATTTGAAAAGGTTTCGAAAGTTTCTTGCATTTTCGCTCTGATCCCTCTCCATATGCAAAGGAGATTTGAAAGTTCCAAGATAATAAGTTCTAGAACCCTAAGAGTCTATTACATAAGTTCCAGAACTTTCCGAAATGTTCCAAAACGTTTTCACTCTCTGATCCTTCTCATATTTGTAGGAAAGTCACAAAGTTCCAGAACTTTTGGATTGAAGAGATAAATGAGATTGAAGAATTTCCATTCCTAGCTAGCTACAACGGGTAGTTGATACTCAAATCTTAGCTTGAGATGAATTTCAAAAGGCTCCTTGGGGTAGGTTGGAAGATGAAGAAAAACACTAGTGCATTCTTGAGATAAAAGAATTCAAATTTTCCAACCCTGTTTTGAATTTTAGCTTCTTATTTGATCAATTTAGTGATCATTTGTATTTGATTCTCTGAAGGAGAAACTTCAAATCTAAAGCAAATTCTCAAGCAAATGACTTGAGAAGTAGACTAGACACAAGTTATAACATTATAAATTATTGTATTCAAGTTTCTCTTTTCTTTACTCTTTTAATTTCTACGTTTTAATAATTATTCAATATTTTGATTAGAAAAATTACATAAAATTTCAAGAATGCAATTCACTCTCTCTTAGATTGCCATAATCCAAGACAACAGGGAATGAAAAAACCTTCACATAGGTGCAAGGAATAAGAATATGAACTTTTGAGTTCCCATCATGCGATGACTTATCTTTGATAGGATTAAAAAGGTAAATTTATCTTATTACGCGTAAAAGCTAATTCAAAATTTCACTTATTGCTACACCAAACAAAATTAACATGTTGCAATTCTAAAAGACTTATAAATTTAAAATATCAAGTTTGAATGTTGAAACTTTGAAACAAGTGCAAGGGAGCAAAGAAATTAAATATTAGAAGAAGGCTCAAAAACCAAAGTACAATGATAGACACACATTTTGGTTTAACATATTATACGATATATTTATTAAAAAATTATTTTTTTATTTGAAATTAAGAGTAGACAAATTTAAAAATACAATCATTCATACAAAATGCAACAACTGAATGAATCAACTATATTTATTTATATTATATTTTAATAACTTAACTAAAACAAGTGTCAAAAAGTATTGAGCCAAGTGTGGACAAATCATTTTTCAAAATGAAATTAATGTAGAGTTTATGACCTTATAAATGGTGATTTATTATGAACCAATTGGTTTGTTGATGTTTCACCTTTCTTTATCTTTGACCTTCTTGTTTTTTGTGACATTTACACACTATATAATAGTGCAATTCCCATTACCTATATGTAATTACAATGACGATTAACACCTTATAATATCATACATTTACAAATTCCATTAGCACTCACTTTCTCAAGCATTTACATGGTGTTTTATTCTTGTTTTGTTGTGATTAATTCTTGTATTGTAACTCTTGTAACTTCTACCACTCTACTATCCTATATATAAAAAGCTTGTTATTGTATAGAAAAGATATGAAAAAATGAGAAGAATAAGAAATCTTCTCGGTCTCTTTATCTCCCTTTTCTGTCTAATTTCTTCTTCTTTTTTACTTGTTTATTTCATTATTTTACAACATGATTATATAGTGTTTTCTAAATAGAATTTTTCTAGAAGCATTCACCTCAAGGGATAACTATAAACCATACAATTATTATGAGGGACAAAACAATTACCGTCGTTAGAAGGGAACAAACTCTCATTGCTACCGGTGATGAACAAACTGTCATTGTTACCGATGAGGACCACACTTCGCGCTAGTGTAGGACCGGGGAAGGAGGTGTGCACCCCAAACTTTTGAAAAATGTCAAATATGTTACATCAATTTTTGTTTTTTACAAAATTTTATTTTTAGAGTTTGAATTATAGGAATTTTTCAAATATAAAGAAAATATAATGTACCAAAGATTATATATAAAGAATATATTTAGGGTCTAGATAGAGGAATCATCTCTCTCTTTGTGATTAATTCTTAAAAAAAATGATAATTTTATTAAAAAATATAGAAAACAATCAAGATTTAGTTATAATAAGATAAACTTGTATAAGTTTTTATATTAATTATATATAATTTTTTTTGTAGAATTTATATTTTATTAAACCAAAGTTAACTTGATACATAAAATCTTACAAAAAAAACTATATTTTTATATTTTTTTATTTAACTATTTAAAATTTTAGGTTGTTCAAAAATAGTTGAATATATCTAATTAATATAAAATTTAGTGTGAATGATATAAGTTGTACACGCATAAAAACAATGTTTGGTTTAAAAATTAGTATAAATTATACCAATGTAAACTATTAAGCCTTTGTTTATCAGATATAGTCGTATAGGTTTTTTGTCTTTTAATATCATAAATATATAAAATATTAATTAAAATTAATAAAATTATATAATATATTAATTAATAATAAATTTACATTTTTATATATAAGTTGTCATGTGAAAAAGGTTTGTGCAAAATTTTGCCCCTATAACTTAAATTTCTGGATCCATCCTTGCTCTCATTGCCTTTCTCTTTGGTGTGTTGTGGTAGGTTTAGTGTCGGTCATGTGGGGAATTCACATTTTTTTTTGTACAATTCAAAGCGATTTTTAACGATTTAAATAATTCAATGATAATTTTCTTTCTTTAAAAATAAGATATCCTAAATTCTAATCACATGACATGTGGATGGGATTAGTTAGAGAATAAAAGAATGTTGTTTTCTATTGTATAACCCAAGTTCTAAAAAAAAAAAATACATATTCAAATGTAAACTCACATTCTTGATTCAACCTTGATGAATTTCTTAAGAAACTCATTTAAAAAAAAAACATTTTTATTTTATTTTATTTAGTTGAATGGTAAATCCTCACATGAGAACATAGTAAGAAACTTGATTAACATAAAAATAAGCACCAATTTGCCAATTGGTTTTAAATTAAAAGTAATCCTTGTGTTTTGGTCCACATGCCTAATTTTCACATGGTGTTAGAATTCAATCTTCATTTTCAGGAAGCTTGAGATCACATGACAATTTGGGCCCATGTAGTGGTGGACATATTAAGACTGTTTGTTATTTAGTGATAAATTAGACCTATCATGCGCGATGGAGGATATATTAAGACCATTCGTTATTTATATTATAGATTAGACTTACGTGTGACAAGACTCAATTCACATTGAATCATTTGCACATAAGTAGAGGATGTGTTGAGTAGAAAAATTTTACATTATAAAAATATCAAAGAGACATTTGCGTTAATACATGGTACCAAAGCATATTATGTGTTGAGTAGAAATTTACTTTACTTATTGTTAATTAAGTTAAATACATGGTATCAAAGCATATTATGTTCTTGTTAAGCACATAATTAGCCCATATAATAAGACTCAGTTTATATCAAGACTATATGTTGAGGGCCTATTAAGCCACAAATTAAGCACTAAAATCTCACATCAAGACATGAGAAGAAATCGGTGTGACTTAAATAAAGGCCCTATGTTTCAACCAGCATGTCAAACATTCACAATTTCTAATGTGTAAACTACAAGCACAAAGTACAAATAATACATATTACAACAATTAAGCACAATACACAATTATTGAAAGGAAGAAACTTTTCTTTTTTTCATTTTAATATTAAGGAGAACCAATTAACAAAATTTTTTTAATTTTTATTTGTGTCAAAATTCTTATATAAAAATAAAAGAAAGACGAGCCGCGTTTTTGGACCCAAAATAAAAAAGACAAAATAGAGAAAAAGCTGAAAATGGTTACTATTACTAATATTAATAAGAACCATCCTTTTCAGGCGCGGGAATATCTTCTTGACCGACGGAAATTATATTGGGTAATCATTTTCTAAAATGAAAATAAATTGATAAGATCATCAGCGTGCGCAAGTTGGCGATTCTTCACCGTTTCTTTCTTTTTCACCATCACTGTGTCTCTGGGACTCCCTGTCCCGTCTCTATCCTTCCCAACCAAAAATTCACAGCACAGCTTCAACTGATTTCTTTCCAACCTTTGAACCCACTTTTGTTCCAGCGAACTCATCGTTTTCCTTCATACATGTGTTCTGGAATATGAAGTTTTCCGATTTTGTAAGTTTTTCATTCCATTTGATTTTTGGGTTTTAATTTCATTCATGTATTTTCGATGATCAATATAGCTCGAATTTCATATGTGAAAGCAGTTTTTGATTGATTCCGAGAATCTTGTGTTCATTTGGAATCGAGCCTTTTTTTCTTGCTTATTAATTAAGGATTGAAAAATAATTCAAGTACAGTGTTTTTTAATTATAATTAACACTTTTCAATCATAATCGTGAATTTGTATGCATGCACTCAGAATTTTATATTGGAAAAGAATCAATGCTTTTGATATAATCATACTTTTGTGTTTGCTTCGAAAGTACACAAATTTTATGGGGACGGTATTCCTCCAGTTGATAGGAAAAGGAATCCTTTTCAGTTTGCCCTGTTTTTTTCCTTTCTTAGACGTCACATGTTCGAGTCCCCTTGCAGCTTAAATTCCAGCATGTTATTTAATTTCTTGGAGTTCATAATTTGGTTAAGTGGATTGATTGTTCTGAGTATATTGATTGAGACATACTCTGTTTTGGCTGTGATTGTAGGAATTGCTTTCTGATACTATTTTATTCTTCTACTTTATGCTACAAAAAAGGAATGTAAGAGGTGCTACTTATTTATGTAGATACTTATATGTGTTAAAATTGTTTCATTGTAATTTGTCTACAGTTCTCTCTGCTTGTTGATCGAAAAAGTAGGGGGACATGGCTTTGTACACTTTTGACTGTTTCTGCTTTGCTGCTTGCAATTTTCGTCATTGTGGGTTCATTCTTAGCACCTGAGCGGAAAATGGTAAGTATACTGCTTTTGGTGCCATATAATAGCCATGGTGTACTTTTGGCATCCATTCTTACGCATAAGTCTCCGGAGGTATACTGATAGTTAATTCGTATTTTATGGTTCACAATGTATGAATTTACTTCTAAGTTTCAGTTTAAACTCCCATATGGAGTTTAAAATCGATTCTCCCTGATCTATTATTCCTTTGCTTTTGTCTAATGCATCAGCTGGATGGTTATAATGCATTAGATAAATGGAATAACTGTTGTTCCCTTGTGCAGGAATCAGTCAAATGGGAATTAAACGATAATTTGCAGGTTCCAAATAATTCCCAGGTTCCAAAAGTTTCTAATTGCAAGGTTTGTTTTTCATTTGCAGAAACTTTTAGTTCTAATTCTTCAACCATTTTTATCTGTGAAAATTTTATTTAAATAGGACATGGCTGGCATTTATTCTTATGTTCATTTCTCTGTTTAGGATCAATGCAGGCCTTCTGGAAGTGAGGCATTACCTGAAGGTATTGTTTCAAAGACTTCTAACTTGAATATGCGACCTTTATGGGGCTTCCCAAAGGTAAAGATCTATAGTTTGACTGCTGGAAGTTTCAGGCAGTCTTAGATTAACTCATAAACTTGTAGAACATTAGCTTTCATCTGTTGGAAAAGCTGAATGTTATCGTTATCTTGATGTGATTCAAATTGGCATGTTCCTTTGATATGCCTAAAAGTTTTATGTAGTACTAAAATGTGTATGTACTAAATGGGTACTGTCTTGACAGAGTAAGAATACTTCTGTTAGCTTATTTGCATTGGCTGTTGGAGTAAAGCAAAAGCATCTTGTTGATAAAATGGTCAGAAAGGTATGACCATTGACAATTGTGATTACTTTTCTGCTTTTCTTTGTACCTACTTTAACTGCTGTCTGTATTTTACTTTGCAGTTTCTATATAGTGGTTTTGTTGTGATGCTTTTCCATTATGATGGTATTGTTGATGAATGGAAGAATTTGGGATGGAGTGATGATATCATACATGTTTCGGCACGCAATCAAACTAAATGGTAAGATATCTCACTCTTCTGACTATATCTGTGCCAAGCGTAGAAGTTGCATTGCTCTAAATATCTATTCCTGGACTTTGTTTTGCTGTGGCTAGGTGGTTTGCAAAGCGTTTCTTACATCCTGATATAGTTGCAGAATACAGTTACATTTTCCTATGGGATGAGGACCTTGGAGTTGAAAATTTTGACCCTAAACGGTATGTTGAGTGCAACTCTCTCAGATTGGAAAAATGAATTCTACATCAGAAGTTTAATTTGGAGTTTCAGACTAGTGCCACTTGTTTCTTTGAAGATGAAGTACAATGACATATATGGCCACCCTTTTTCATTTTTTTCTCTACCCTTGAGTATTTATCCCATTAAGTATTCAAGTAGAAGATTGTAGCAAAATGTTTATAGTTCTTTCAGATAGGAAGCAAAAGCTGAAGCATGTATTGTATATACATATATATGTATATACACCTATAGAAGTTTTTGACATTTGCCAATGTAAAAGTTCCAATTATTGTCATTCTTAAAAGGTTCATCTATTAGCAGTATATTGAATTAAAAGAAAGTTTAATAGGTAACACAAACCTAAAATGTTCTTTCATTGCCCCTCATCTGTTAATTCTATACTTTACTCCTTAATTTTGGCAATTAAATAGCTACATCTTGACAAATGGATGCCTAATGTAATCTACTTAAATTCTAAAAATTGAATTTTCTAACTTACATGGATTTCAGATATTTGTCAATTATTAAGAATGAAGGGCTTCAAATATCACAACCAGCACTTGATCGTAAAAAATCAGATGTACATCATCAAATTACTGCACGTGTGAGGAAATCAACATTGCACAGGTTCTTGTTGATACAATTTCTAGTTTTATATTAACTTCATTTGAGAAATGTTTTATCTGTCAGATTCAAGCACCCCAAATTGCTGTCTATTCACATGCTACTGATTTTCAAATAACGATGGCTTTATATGCAGATAATGCTGTGTTAGATTGATCTTTGAGATTTTGTTAGATATCATATTCCTTATCTTGTCAAAGTTGGCTGTCCAAGTTTCTCAATATCATATAACCATTTTAAATTCAGAGAGTTAAAATTGTTTGAGGTTGTTAAATACTAGAGATGGCAAGAAAGAGATCAGTTTTGGAGAAAAGTCCTTGACAGGTCAATAGAGAAAAGAGCTGGATTTTATATATACGGTTGACAAAGTTCTATGTTATATGCTAAAGGATGAAACTGGCATCCAAATCTTGATTTTCTCTTATGGAAGCTATTAAGTTTGTAGCATAGTTGGTGCATCATTGAGCTTCAGCACACCATTTGAAACTTGGTTGATTTAATGTCTGTTTTATGTAGTTGCTTACTTGGTGTGTTCTATTTGGCTTGTATAAGCAGAAGGACTTTCAAGCCAGGTGTTAACGGGACAGGTTGTGATAGCAAAAGTAAAGCACCTCCGTGCACAGGGTAGAACTTTTATATCTAGTAACATTCTCATTCCTTTTCTTTTCTTAATAAAATTACTTATCTAACAAATTATTGATCTTTAAGACCCTAATAGTAATTTATATAGCATTTTATGAATTATGTAAAGATATTTTTCTTGCAAAATCATTTTGACATATTTGGCATAAGTTATCTTCTTTGAGATAACTAAGTTCAAAACCCATTTTACATCTTGATTTGTTTAACAAAACAAAGGAAAAAACTATGTTGCAGGTGGATAGAGATGATGGCCCCTGTTTTCTCAAGAGATGCCTGGCGTTGTGTATGGTACATGATCCAGGTTTGCAATTCATGCTGAAATGATTTTTTCTTCCCACCTCCCATCCTTTTATTTACTTTCTTTCTCATTCCCTTTTATTGGTATATTGGTCATTTCTTATTTTTTCATTGGACCAATTATTTACATTAACTTGTTCATCTCTCTCAGAATGATTTGATCCATGCATGGGGTCTAGATATACAACTTGGCTATTGTGCACAGGCAAGCTTCTTTAACTGGTGCCGTCTCATATAAGTTATCCCCAAAAGAGGTTGCCTAACCTGCTCATTTATAGGGTGATCGAACCAAAAATATTGGCATTGTGGATGCAGAGTACATAGTCCATTATAGTCGCCCTACACTTGGTGGTGCCAATGGAGAAAATAATACTATGGTTCAAAGTGAAAATGAAAATAAGGTTAGCAAAATCAAATATACATTGGTACTAATGCCATTGTTTGACTTACTAATTTGGGAAGTGCTGCATCAGTCCATCTCTAATTCAAATTTAGATGATTCTCAACTCTTTTCTCCTTTTTTTTTTTCTTTTTAATATCAGGAGTTTATAGCCCCATGTCAGGCTTTCATTGATTAAGTTGGAAAATCAATTGCTTTCAAATTTTAGATCTATGGTTTAGTTCTGTTGAATATTTTGTAATTGATAACTTATGGTTTCCTTAACTAAGATATCTGGTTATTGGTTAGGGGCTCTCACTTTTGAATTATAGTTTCCGAATGTCAAATGATTATTAGTGTCCTTAATGTCCAGACGCTATGAGCATGTCTGGTGTGAAAAAAGGGTTCTAGTTTTCTAAAAGTTCTTCCAAAGTCTCCATCATGTGTTTGATTGAGTCAAGGCTGAGAAAGCTTCTCCATTAGATTTTTCAGAAAGATTTCCGTACTCAAATCCTAGGAAGTTCCTCAGGAAGACTTATGAGATTGTTCCTTCTGCTATGTAGTATCTGGGAGTCCATCTTATGGCTCTTTGACATTAATGTCAGCTCTAAACTGGTATAGTACGTTTATAGAAGTTAAAATGTGACTTGAGAAAGTGTGTTGAAAACTATTAAGCTTCACTTTAGAATTTCTTATGTTACTACATGAATTACATGCTTTTGGTTAGGACTCTGAACCCTTGATGGGCAAAAATCTTTGGTATGATCTTGATTTGCTTCTTATCTATTGAATTTGCCTTGAAACAAAGCTATCTTGCACCTTTTTATCTACATATGAGAATTAATCTTTCTAGGATTTATCTACTACATGCTAAATTGTTTCCTCTAACACAGATATTGATATTTCTCTTAGCTTATGTTAGTCTGTCACCTGATTGCGTTACCAAAAGCTTGCCCAGGCAGTGCTCTACCACCTTGCCTAGGCCCTAGGCATAGAGTTAGGCATTTCTTTTATTTTTTTGGATTTCCTGTTCTATTTTGCCATTTTTTTGCAGAAAAATAAAAATGCCTAGAGCACTTAACAGCACTTAGATGGTGCCTAAGTACCACCTAGGCACGAGGCAGTGGCCCAATGCCAACCACTGCCTAGCGCTTTCTGCAACCTTGGATTTTATTTGAACTCAGATTATGCATTCAACTCTATCATTGTAGTCATCTTATCATTCACGTTGGAAAGATGCATCTTCTCTTCATCCAAGTCAGAAAGATATAAGATGCAAAGTATGTAATTATTTGAAATATGACTACAGTTATGTCTCTAAGCTTTGAAAACTTTGTCTAGTGTTGAGTAATTTTGTGCTTTTCTTTCTCTCTTTGCTGTCATCTTTTCGTTACTCAATTTACAAATTAAATGTCTATTTTGAGAACAAAAGACTGAGAACTTTCATCTAGGATGTCTTGTGTTACCCACATGAAATGCAAACATTACGCCATATTTGAACCCTTGAGGATCAAGAACCATAAGCATAATGCTGATCTGCATCTTAATCTAGTGATTTTTACCCTGCACATGAAGGAAACAACATAAGTTGCTCCTTAGATTAATATAAGAGAATTAATCTTTCAAGGATATATTTGCTAGGTAAACAGTGACTTAAAATACAGATACTGGTATTTCTCTTAGCTTGTCTGATTTTAGCTTCAATAAGATTATGTACTGCTAAACTCTTTATTGCAGTCATCATCTAGCCGTTCACATTGGAAAGATCCACATCGACTTAATCCCAGAGTTGAAGTAAGTAAACAATTTCAAGTATTTATACCTGTAGTACTTGCACTATGTTTCTTTAGCTTCCTTGTGTATTGGAAAGTCACCTTCATAGGTTCATAGTTTCATTATAGGTTGCATCATCCACTGGCAGTTACCTTTGAAACTGAGAAAAACTGAATCATACTCTCTTTTGTATGGTCATGTAGTATTGTGGATTGGTTGATTGGTTTATTTTTATTATGAAGTAATGGTTTGATTTGTGCAGGTTAGGAGGCAGTCCTATATTGAGTTGGATATTTTTAGAAAAAGATGGAGAAAGGCAGTCGAGAGGGATGTTTGTTGGGTGGATCCATACCAAGATAAAAGTGCATAAGAGTGGTCGCGAATTGATCCTAAAGCAGAGCTGTGTAAATATAGGTATACCAGTTGTGCCTTCAACTCAGAAGACATTGGAGAGAAGGAAGATGTTGGAGCTCTATTTTGCATTCTTAATGTGGGGGAAAGGTTCAGCAAATACCCTTCTTAACTCAATTTTCAGCTACTGGACTTGAATCATTCCTTGAACTGTCCATAGCTAAAATAAGAGCACAATGTAATGTTAAATTTATAGATGCAAGATGGAAATGATAAAGTTGTTTTTTACTTCTTTATTTACTTCACTGCACTGAATTATGTGAGTTCCAACTGGCTAAAACTACATGCATCAATTTTAAAACATTTTAATTATTTTATCTTACGACAGGGCTCACTCCCCTCCTAAAGAGTTGTATTCACTGTTTTGTAATAATGTGATAATGTATACTCTTTTTAAATCTTAATAAAATAGCCATTTCATGAAGCTTCAAAAACAATTATCAAAAAGGGTAGACCATTTTCGGTGCATGAGTGGAGGATGTTACAAAAAGGTAAGCAGAATGATGAAATATACATAAGAGCATTGGGGAATGTACATGTAAAGTTACAACAATGGCTAAATTGTTGTAAAATAAATAAAGAAATATATAAGTAAAAGAAGAAGCATGAATTAGAGCTACAGAGGAAGACAGAGTTTGTGGAGAGTTATTATTTTTCATACTTCCATACCCTTTGGTATAGGTTACAAGCTCTAATATATAGCAACAGTGGAAGTTACAAAAATATATCACTCATTAAATAAGAATTGATTATCATGTAAATACATGAAAAAAAAAATTACTCACTATTATAAAAAATGAGTAAATCAATGAAATTATGAGATGTTAATTACTATTGTAATTACATGAAAAAATTGAGAAGTGAGAAAGGGAGATGACGTGCTCCGTTAGATTTTATTAACGGAAGACCGGAATAGTATTGAAAATTAAAGTTTAAGGACTATTTCAGTACTTTTGAAAGTTTAAAGATTGAAAAGGTATAAAATTAAAAGTTGAGGGACCAATTTTGGGATTTTAACCTTCTGAAAAGGATATGGTGCAACGAAGGAAATTCGCCGGCCTTAGGAACGGGCAGAAGGTAATTGTGTAATTAGGTCCGCCAGAGCACGAATAGGTGGTTGTGGAATCATCAAAAGCGTAGCTATAAGCCTGAGGACACTGGTTCTTGAAAATCATATAATATTGTGAGGCCTTATTGCAAGTCTCTGGCGTGCCATATTCACCGGTGCAACAGTACTGCGGCTTATTGAAGACTATACAAGCGCTCTTGCAACCGATGATGTTCCCCCCATCAGGCTCTGTAAGGGCCAGCTCAGATGGACATATTGCATTCACGTTAGCTGCACAGCTGGTGGAGACGCAGTTAATTAGCACCAGAGCCGCCTTGCGGAGTTATTGAGACAGGCAAGTTAAAGCCGTCCACGAGGCTAATGTCGTAAAAATCTTGCCCCCCAACTCCTTGTAGACTGAATTCTGCAAGGGATGAGGGTGGGTCCCCTCCTGCGCCATTACAGGCGATCTGTTTAGAGCCGCAGTCAGCCGTGGCACAAGTGAATGTTCCAGAAGAGTCTGATGAGTATTGTGTTCTAGCCCAGATCCTGCCCACCCATGAAGCCGGAACGTCAAGGGAGTAGGATTTGTGAGAAGCTAACTCGAAGCCAGTGTTTGATAACTGTGTTGCACCACTATTGGTTATTGCTGGCCAGATTGTGCTCAGACAATTGTTCTCGATAATGAGTGTTGCAGAATGAATCCCTGCGTTTGAGGAAAAATACATACATATTAAATTAATGTACGGAAAAGATGGTTGAAAAGTTATACACTCTATATGGTTATGTTTGGTTTGGTGGATTTTATGGACTTACAGTTTTCTTATTCCTAAAACATTTGGTTATGGTGATTAGAAACGTAATTATTAGAAAAATATAATCAAAATAAAAAAAGTAAAGAAAGATGAGATGTTTTGAGGCTTGAAGGACATTAAAATGCCACTAGGATACAAGAAAATTTAAGAACTAAACTCTCTTCAAGAAATTGTAAAAGGAATGAAAATTTTAGTATATATTTGATTTAGACTTGCATAAATAGCTGAAAAGATACATACCTGTCATTTAATCAAATGTTATAACCTCTCAACAAACATAAATATAGTTATGCCTATTCATTCAAACTAAATTGATTTGTTTATTTGTTTAATTGTCCTATCCTTACAAAAATTTACTTTAAACGGGTGACTCAGTTGATTAAAAACTTAAATTTCTAAGTTAGATATCTTAGATTTAAATCTAAACTCGAGTGAAGAGAGATTTAAAAAAAATGAAAAGTTATCTCTTTTTATATAGTTTATTATCATATGTACCAATAAAATATCTTTAGAAAGCTTTGATTTCAAACTTGAATTCATTTTTATACTTAAAACATAATTTGTCTATCAATATTATTATTTTTTATCTTAAATTGCCTAATGAAAGACAATCCCCATTTTATTTTTTAACTTATTTCACTCAGATATTATGCAATTCGAACTTATAGTCTCTTGCTTTTCCTAAAAGAATATTACTAATAAACTATTTATGCCATTAGCGGCTATCAATATTAGCAAGTTTAGAATATACTAACATTTTAAACTACCTTGAATATTTTATTATAATGACATTGGTACCATTTCATTCAAACTAAATAACCAACAATTAGTCTATAAGTTAATTTTAAATTGTTAAATAATAAATACTAGTTGTTCTATCATCTATAAGTTATATCTACAACTATGCCTAAGATTTAAACCAAACAAAGGCTATTACTAATTAGTACATAAAAATGAAGTGTAATCCACCCTACGCAGATGGTGAAACAACATTTTTTAGTCATAAATGTCTTAAACATCCCTTTTAAGAATGCATCATCCCTGAATTTGGAATCCCTTTTAAAAAATGTTCTAAACTTTTTAATTAAGTTTAACTTTCAGGACCGCCATGAATGGATTTTAAATTGGAAAGTACTAATAATCTTTTATTGTCTAGACAACTAGTATATTTATATTTTAGGAGGTAATTTAGAAAGAGAGCACCACAAGCAACTTCAAGTTCCGCAGCAAGTGGTACCACTTGCCTTAGTGGAGTTTATTAGGATAATATAGGATCATGTATTCAAACCCTAGCTCGCTAGCCCAACATCTTCCTAGTTCCTCCTTCCCCAGTCCCCACTAGTGTAATAAAAAGATTGTACTCAAAAAAATAATAATAACAATAAGGGGGAAAAAAAAAAGCATTGACAATTTGTTATAACTCATTGGATGTATTAAAAAAATTAAAGGATACTAGTACATACATTAATTTTTCACTTTTAAATACACATTCATTAAAAATTAATATGTTGATGGTTTAGAATTAAATACAAAAACACTTGAACTTACTACCATTCAAATTGCATTCATCTATTCTTGTTTCCAAACATATCTCAAATCTTGTTCCGCTTAACTTCTCCATAGAATAAAATAAAAGGATTTTGAAACTCACTTAGACTTGGCTTAGACAAAAGAAGGTTAAACTTGACTTGCTCTAGGTGATTGACTACAAATTTTCCTAAAGTAGGGCCTACGTTTCAAACTCCAGATCTGATACTACAGCGCCCCAAATGAAAATTTGATCGTTCAATTTGAAGATCCATGTCTTAGGAAGCTCCAATCCAAATTTCAGCTCAATCCAACGGTGGCTTAGCGCAGATGATAGGTTTTCCCAAAATAGTGTACAGGAAAAGAAAAAAACATAGTAACTTGCCTATATTTGAACTCCAGATCTGATATTACAAGGCTCGAAATCAAAGGGTGACCATTTACTCTGAAGATCCATGTCTTAGAAATCCCTAGGCCATTTTTTAGCTCGATCCGGATTAGCACAGATCGCACGTTTTCTCAAGATAGTGCACAAGGAAAAACACAACTTTCCATTTCTCTCCCTTCCTTCAAGATAGTGTGCACAAGGAAAAACACAACAACTTTCCATTTCTCTCCCTTTCTTTTCCGGTTATTCTACAAGTTTTTTGTTTACAAAAGCTTAAGAACAAAAATTAAGATATGGGTTTAGTTAGGAGAAGTCTCATTTTCATGTCGGTATACTTGTTAGGAGGATAAAAGATGAAGAGGAAGAAAATTTAGGATTGAGAAGGAAGGTTTGAAATGATGAACTGATGAAGAATAGAAATTAAGGGATAAGAAAATCACTTTCTAATAATCTAAAGAGTGCATCAATCATGTTTTTAAACTAAAATAAACAAAGATAAACTTTAAACGTACGTACCTGCAAAGAGGATGGTCAAGGTAAGGCTAAAGAAGAGTAGGTAAATCTTCATCGCTTTTGTGTTGCACTTAATTCTTCATAATGTTTTCCCTTTTCAGTGGAGTCTAGAAGGGGTAAGAAGAAGGGATGGTTTGTTTATATAGATAGTTTGGAGACGCCTTATGGGTGACGATTAATTAATTGGAGAATGATTTAAGTAAAAAATTTTTCTTATTTTTTTATATAATTTTACATATGATTTAAATAATTTATTTTTTTATTTATACAAAATTTATATTATTAAATATATTTACTTATTTAATAATATATAAAATTATTAAAAAATTATTAAAAAAATTATCCTATATTACTACTTCAATTAATTCTAGTCCAAGTAACTTTAGTGGAGTGGGTGTTGGACATAATGGTTCACTACCAAACCATCTTATTTGGGTTCAAAGTGATTAAAAATTCGAGTTCCACCACTTATTAGAAAAATTTCTCTCATTTCCTAAATTTCCATGTAAAAAAAAAAAAGGAAAAAGTACCTGGGGCGGTGTCGTGTTAGATCGGGAGAAAGTCCTTTTATGCAACGGGAATACCACATCGGTGGTATCACCGTCCAATGAGAAAGTGATAACTCATTAAATTAACACAGTTTATCACTCCATGAACAGTGGTCAGATGTTTCCTTTCTCCTCCCTTTTCTCATCCCTTCATCTCTCTTTATTCTTGGAATTACTAGATATATACCTATCTATTTGGAATGGAAATTGTTCACATGCAGAAGCTTCACATTCGATTGTTTTGGTGGAGCTTACAGAGGTTGATTTCTCTATTCCTAGTGTTCCCAAATTTGAAGATGGACAAAATCCAGATCTTACAGAGGTTGTGGTCATCATCAATGGCGAAGAAAAGATTTGCGAGGATAGGAAAGAACTGGGGGAGAAAGAGATGAATTTAATGAGTCAAAAGTTTCCATTCCAAATAGATAGGGATCTAGTAATTCCACCAAATAGAAGTGGAGGAGAAGAAAGAAGATGGGCTATTCAACTTCTCCGTTACTCAGCTTCCATTAAATGATTAGGTTGTAATGACGGGGTTGGAATGTATCTTTAATGTATCCAAAAAAATGTATCTTTAATTAGATGATGAGGGTTCTAATTTAGTGGTCTGACAGGGATACCAGTTGATTTGACATTCTTGTTGTTTGGTAGACATTCTCGTAGATCGGAGCCTAAATTTCGAAAACAATTCAATATAAAATCTTTGAAAATTTTAACCATAAATTCTACTACCAGTGATCAACATTTTTCAAGACACTTTTGTTCATAATCTTTATTTTGTTTCAACTAATATTCCTAACCTTTATGATAGCAATTATCATTGGCTGATAAAAGTATTCATAATTGGTTTTTGCATTAGGTTCCATTTATTATGATTGTGAATTTGAGGTTTTAGTGTTGGTTTTTAAAAATTTACAATTATTAAAAATCAAAATTAAAAGTCAAAAATCAAAAATTAAAATTTTTTTTAAAACGAGTTTTAATACAAATAACAAAAAATACAAAACTTGGTTAATGGTATTAAAACTATTTTAGTTCTTATTTCTTTAATAATCATAATAATAATCATAATAATAATTAAGTCACAAAAATAGAAGAAAGCAAATTAGTTTTTTTATTTAGAGTTGTAAAATTTATAAAAACAAAAAAAAAAAATTTAATCACAGCCATACTAAATGGAATCTCAATTGTTATAGTAAAATTCAAACATAACATTGGCAGGGTAATTAGTGAGTCTTTTCAATATAAAAAACATTTTTTAGTCTCTAAACTTCATGTTTGGCCAAAAAAATTCTAAATTTCAACAAAATTTTGACAAAAAAATTTCTAAATT